TAAAACTCGCCTCTGCCCTCTCTCTCTTCTTCTTGCACTCCTCTGACTTTCCAACCCTATTTTCAATGTTGCATCTAAATATTACACATAGGTGTGCAGAATTAACGTTTGAGCTACTGATTGGAATCGGGTTTACAAGAGAATCTTATCGCGAGAGGATTGCCATTTCCGGGGGGAATGGAGGCCAGAGGTTGGCGGTCTATTTTTAAGGATAATTACCGCGAGAGGTGGGTTTTTAGGAGTTGAGTCATCAAACTAAGATCATAGTATTTTTAAACCATCTCAAAGACTTGTTTTATTCATACTATATAAATCATTTAATTTCTTTTTACTTATAGGGTCATCTTATTCAAGTTAGGTCACTCGGGGTTTTCAATACTTTCAAAATCTTTTTTTTTTTTTTTACCCAGAATCATATTTTTTTTGTATAAAAAATAACTGGATTATCATAAAAAATACACGCACAACCGAGCAAAAAAATCTTCACCCCTTAAACAACCCACCCTCGAGTTAATTCGTAATAGCAGTAACTATTGGCCAGGTGCAAGTGATGGGAGGGGATAGATGAGTCGACGCCAGCGTGCGTAGTGACGAAAACAAGAAACCTGGGGTACCAAATTACTCTCATTTTTGCTTAATGAAGAAAAGAATAACAGTATTTCGTCAAATTTACAGATGTTATCATCACATATGCATAAATAGTATTAATATTATGAAATTGCAGTTACACAAATGTAAAAAAATGAACTATGTGGTGCCAAGAACGGTTGTAAAATGTTTGAATGTAACAACATACTTATTAATGAAGCCTCGTTAGTTTCCGATCCAGAGAACACTCTCAGAAGTAGACGGCAAAAAGAAAGATAAATACGCGAAATGAGACATGATCATTGTGATTTATATCATTTAAACGTTTATGAAATATGGGTGTAAGAAAGTGCTGTGTCGTTCAGTGTAACAGTAGGGCAAAGACAGATTACAGTAAAATTACATAAATTTCGATGATTATCCAACTGTAAATAAAGGTAATTTTCATGTGCATTGCAACTTAGACAATTTTCAAAATAATCTGAATAAAAAGTTCATGCAGGTTAACTTTGTAGGGAGCTGAAGTTACCGAGGTCTGCCTTATTACGATGGCACTTGTCAAATTGCTAACTCCATCACTTTGAAATTCTGTAACATCGCACACATGACTACTTTGAACCAACTGTTTACCTTTTTTTAAGGCTTCAGATTTACAACAAATCGAGTGTGTGACATTCCTAAAGCCTGTTTTTATGATAACATCCATTATCAGATGAATAAATACACTAATTTTTTGCTAGTTAATTGATTATTACTCAAAGTGTGCATCGGTGTATGCTGTTGACATATAATGTGGGTACTCGCGGTTGCATGATTTTGACACCAAGGGTGGCGATGCATGACATGCACCTGGCCAATAGAGTTTGTTAGCTCTAGAAATGTTCGTTGGATTAGATCTCAATAGTCCCATCGATAACGAGCGACGATAAAAGCAGCGTGTCGCCACACCGTAGCGTCGACATTGTAGTCCGAATAGAATTTGCGAGAGTATCAGCGGTCCAGTAGTATAGTGTACCGAGGATTAAGAGTCAGTGTACACATGTACCAAGAGGTGACTAGGTATTAGTCCCTTCACTTGGAACGTGTCGTTCAGTAGTGGAGACTATTTGTACACGTATGTTGGTGCCATGAGAAAGCAAGTGCGCGCTGATTAAAAGCTCGTTTGTCATCATTTGATGCGTTAAAATGACGGTAGCTATAGGTGTGCTCGCGTTGTGGATTTCTCTCTTTTCTTTTCGACAGTGATCCATCACTTTCGTTCATATACTGATCCTTAGTGGGATGATCTACTTTTGTGTTTGAAATACATAGGATTTGATGGTTACTGTGAACTAGAAAATTAAATTAGAAAATTTTTGTAAATATGTACCAAAAAAAATGTTTTAATCACACCGAGAAATTTTTTTGGTGAGAGTTGCTATGATAATTCTGGTGGAAATTATATTAGAATAATATTTGATTGACTAATATATATATATATATATCACAATAATTGATAATTAAAGAATTAATTAATTCTCGATAATCATGACTCATTTCAATGCATGATAAATAAAAATACTTAAAAGAGCAGATATCAACAATTACATAAATAAACAAAAAGGATTTTTTTTTATTAACAAATTAATATTATCCTGCATTTAATTTGTGATATTCTGAACGATTTTTATTGAACGTTTATTAAAATATAAAATTAATTGTTAAGCTAAAAAAGTTACAACTATTGTATTAAATTTACCTTATAAATATTTCATGTTTCGATTTGGTTTGTTGAAGATGACATTCTCAGCATTATTGTTACCTATGTAACCAGATGCTAAAAATTTCTTCTTCGACAAGCTGATTGAACATGAGCTAAATCTACCTATATTTTGGATTTTCGAAGATGATATTTTCAACATTTAGTACCTTAATTCAAAACATAGTTATTGTTACCTATGTAACCAGATGCCAAAAATGTCTTCTTCGACAAGTTGATTGATCATGAGCCCAATCTACCTAAATATTTTTTAAATACATTATAAGGATTTTTTTTATCACTACTTATGAAATTTTTTTAATAAAAATTTTTTGTACTCATACTTCTTTGTTTTAAAAGATGTTTTTTCATTACTGTACAAACGATAATTACTTTTACAAATCCATACCTAAATAATTAATACCCTTTTTTACGTTTTTTTTTTAATTTTCTACACTTAGTTTTTAAAATTAAACTATTCTATTGATATTAAACTCATAAACTATTTATTAAACTTCAATGTCGTGTTCTTAAACTTCAAAACCGTTTATACAATTTGCTTCCGATACATAGTTATTAAATTTAATACATATTTATCTAATTTTAGTACCACGTGTTGTAGTCTGTGATAGTAACATGAGTTCTAAAGAGTTTTTGCCTCTACCAGAATAGTCTGGTCAGTTTTTCTGAATAGCGTTATATGGAAAATTTTAATGAAATTCCTAAAAAAAAAATCCATTTTTTAGCGAGGAGAAGAGTGGGTATCTACACACATCCCAGAACTCAGATTTTCATCTCCACACAGCGAGTGATCTCTACGAGCTTGTAAAGCGAGCAAGAACAAGTATACGTGGAAGTGCAAAAAAAGTGCGCATCCAGGAAATTGGGTCAGTTCGATGATGCCATTGCCACTAGCCTCATCATTTAGCTCACAGCGCTTCCTGCTCGCCGAGAGTAGCGTTTCAACTGTTTGTTCTTTCTTTTATCGTGTGACTTGTAATGACTTTAGCGATACGTACTGGCAACAGTTTTCGTTTGAGCTTTGTTTTCTTGATTGAAATGTATTTTTAACCTGTCAATTGTTTAGTCCTGTACGGATCTTGTTTTTGAACGAAAATGCAAGTTAGCCCACTGGATTTATTCATAACAGATTAGAAATTAAAAATAAAAAAATTTACATTTTTATTAGCAAATTACAAAGAATTCGAGCTTTGGGCATCATAAATTACCAAGCAGAAGCGAAAACGTGTATACAAACGAAAAAAGATTTCGGGATCAATTGCTCCCCGAGAAAAGTTCCAGGAAGTGTTGAGAAGAGAAATAAAAATCGCCGACATCATCAAGAGAACTGGCAAACTATACCGTACCAAGTACCATACACATGAACGATGACAACGACGACAACTCGAGTCTTTAGATCGTGTCAGAAGGTCAAACGTCGGTATGTGTTTTTTTTTTCTTCTGTCCACGAGCTTTTTTGATAAGGAACTCATAATACGTTCCTTTATATAGACGATGACGAGCATTGGACGGTGACTTGTTTGTTACTCGTTGGGATTTTTGGTTGTAGAAGTCGATTTTGAGGTTAGAATTTTGGTAGTCTTAATTTAGGATATCGTTAGACTTAAAAATCAATCAACAAAAGTAATGTTAAGTTAAAAACCTCTTGAATAAAAAAATTTTAATTATTGAGAGGAAAAAAAATCTAACTGGATACCGAATAAATTCATGGCAATTTGTATGATTAGAGGAGATCATAAAGGTAATTCGGAATATTTACTCAGTCAAAAGTTTTATTATTGGTTACAATCGTTTCGGAAAAAAGAAAAAAAGCACAACTTTAAGTTGGAAAACCGATAAATTATGATCCATTTCAGTGCAGTAAAAGAAAGCAATAAATCACGAAAATAAAGCATCAGGATTGATGAACCGTGCACCTTAAAACCAAAGTCTTACGGCGGGCAGCCGAGCTTTTACTCTCGGCGCTCTCATCGATCCATTTTATCACTTTTCTCGGTATGTGTTTTTTCCTTTTTTCTTTCTTTTTTTCAATTTTAGAAAACTGTGTCAACTCCAAGAAACTCCCACGGAATGTGCAAGTATTCGTAGCTTTGGTTTTTCGTCGCGTATACGATTGCATATGTAGGTTGAGGAGTGATCTTGCAAGGGAGAAAGGGAACTAATCGATTAAACGACTCACGCGCGAGATACATTTATTCCGGCCAATTGCCCGTAATTCCAGTTTTAATTCCACGAGCAGGATCCAATCAGGTGGAAAATCGGCCCAACGACCGTTTCTTTTTGTTCTATCAGGTGGTGGTGCTGAAGTGACTTTAAAGCGTACACTGACAGAAAGATTTGTTAGTAATTAACTTTATATGTTAACTTTTAACTTACGTATAATATGTAGTATCCTGCGTAGTGTCATGTAACGCGGTGCAGGTTTAACGTACATACAACATGTTAACTATTAATATGCCGTCTGTGTACAGTTATAATTTAAAAAGTTATAAAGAACATGTAAACTAATTTTCTGTTAACATACTTGTACGTTGATAGTAAAAAAATACTTCTCTCAATGTATAACAGCAACTGTGACATTTTTTGATACTTCAGGTTAGGTTAATTTAACGGTGGGTTAGTAAAAAAATGATATAATGCTGCTGGGACTTACTTATTAAATCAGGGGTTGAGAAAAAAAAATCTTCTACTGCCAATCTGAAACAAAAAATGGAACAATTTTTTGTTTTAATCGTGTTTTAAAGAATTTTATGGCGCGATTATTTTATTATAAATATTTTATTTTTCAATTTTGATTCTATTACGATGAATTTCAAGTACCATTTACTCGACAACATTTGAATATGTTTATACACTGATTAACAATAACCAAAACCAAACTTAAATAGTAAAAAATTTTCCAAATAAACATTGTACTGATGATACACATTTATTATTTTATTTTACTATTAAAAAGTTCTACGTTTTTTTATCAAGCCAGTAAAACTAGATCGATGTTAATAAAAAATGTTTGTAAGAAAACCAGCCATTGCTACAACTTTGGAAAATAAAAAAAGATATAATACAGTGTCTTTCACTTTGACACAAGTCATTGAAAATATAAGATTATGTTGAGTGGTGTCGTTTCATAAAAAAAACTGTGCTGCACTCACATAATTATTTTAGAACGTCATTTTCAAACAGATAAAATCTCAGTATCGGTAGTACTTTTTATTTTTTTTCCCCTTAGAAGACATACTTGAAAAACTACTTCTTTGTACGGAAATAAGGTCATCGACCAATCAATTTAAGCCGTCAAACATAACACCCCGAAATGCATTTGTCTCTCTCTATCTCTATAACTTAGATAAAACAAACACCGGAAAGGATCACGCAACTGACCAGTACCTATACTACCAAAACACGATTTTCATTAGTCGTCGTTTGGAAGCTCAACTTCATGCGATGCCCCCTCCTCTCGTGTCCATTTAACGCCCGCAAAGGGAAACGCAGAAGGGCTGACAGGATTCCCTCGCCACCTTATCGGCCCTCGAGCATCTCTAGTTTACTTGTTTTTATAGACCAGAGAGTGTGCACATCACGGAGACACACCCGCACGGCAAGTACGAGCATCCACAGCATGGGGTCGAGGGAACCGAGGAGGATGATATGTTGGTTCGTCCACGTGACTATGTGTGTACGTGTGTGGGGAGAGAGAAGGTGGATCGACGTTTGGCGCAGACTCTGGGTCTGGTTTTCAAGCTTGTCAAGGGGAAAAAAGAACGGCGCGAGGGGATGGATAGAAAATAGATGGAGTGGCTGTCGAGGGGGTGTAAGTGCGAGACTACGAGTGCTGATGGATCCAAATGATAGAGATTTTGGGGGAAAATATGCTCGGCTGGGAGTTGTATTATTTTTTTTTATTCGATAGGTGGGAGGGATGTTGAAAGGTACGAAAACAAAACAAAAAACCACCCAAGCTCCAATTGTGGGATGGTTAAAATTAAACTTGGATTCGCGTGAGACTTCTGATTTCGTATATGAAATTCGTGTATGAACTCGCTTAGTCGAAGACCTCCCGCACAGCTGTGTGGAGAGGAAAAATAAAAAATAAAATAACGAAATAAAAATAGAACGAGGGAGTAGTCATTCGAGTTTGTCTTGTAAATGATGTCGTTACTCAAATCGAGTGCAAAAAGCTCGGACAAATCAATAGAACTTTGTATTGCATACACATAGTGAGCTTTAGGATTTTGGGGTTACATAAATATTCACCAGACCTATTGTACTCGTATGGCCGAAAAAATATATTATCGTGCAATTGCGTATTTAAAAATACAAATTGAAATATTAAATAGCAGTTTTTTTAATTTATATAGAACTATTTTAATTATTTTGTTTAATACACGTTACAACTATTTCTATTTGTCAATTATTTGACCACGAAGTTTTTACACGACATACTGATTTATTTGGATATGGCTTACACATATTTTTCGTGTAAAAAGGACGTGGAATGTAAGGAAATAAATTTCACGTGATAGAAAAATCCGGTCAATAATTTTCATGTCTCCGTTTCGAAGCACCGTTCGGTTATCCTATCGTTTTTCACGGAATTTTCATTTTCTTCTCTTCCATCCATTTATGATAGTCTTTTTTCCGTTTAAGCAGCGCATAAAGAGAATTATTTTTTCCTTGGGTCTCATTATTATGGCCCATCGTTGCACTAACGAATTCTCATGGCAGCTCTATTATATGCCTACATATGAGTGATTCTACAAAAAATTGGACGTTTAAGAATCAGAAAAATTAGTCACCCTGAAAAAACCATTGGGACCTTTTTTTAACTTGTACAATTATAGAAAATTTTTTAAAAATTTTAGAATAAACTGGTCAAAAATAAACAAAACACTTGAAATAAAGCTCGAAATAAAGTGCGTTGTAAATTTGATCTGCAGAAAAAATTGTTACAGCACAAAAATAATGCTGCTTTCTTGAATTTGAGCACAATTTTTTTTTTATGCAATAGTATCAAGTTCGAAAAACTCGTCGAAAAACTCATCAAGTAAGCTTTTTAGGGTATTCACGATATTATTAACTTACCACAAATTATAATCATTTTTAGAATCGTACAATATATATATATCACA